TAAAACACTTTGTGTGGGGTTACAGGAAAATAATCAACAGTAACTCAGGAGACATCACGTCACTGATTAATTTCCTCTAACAGCACGGCCTGTCAGGTTTTATTCCATGTGCATCGATCTGTCTAGATCTGGAATGGCCAAATTACAGCTCAGAGGAGTTTTCAACCTCTAAGGTCAAAAATTAGTTAGTTGAAGTGGAAAATTTCTCTTTTACCACCTTCTATGGTACTACTTTTAATATATTAAAATGATTCCAACCACTAGATGGCGAAGTAATGCAACAATAACAGCCAAGTGCAAGGAGTGGACTGTAAATTTTATTTATTTATTTTTACAGAGATTTAAAATAAATATTACATTCGATCATGGCACTGTATTAGCTGTATTTTTTCACCAAATGACTATTGATATTTATTTGCATAGCAACAAGCCACTAGTGTCGGAACTACTTTTTTTTTTTATGCCTGATTTTAAACACAGATATTTGAATATTTCTGTCTTTTGAGTCATTTGTAAATGCTGGATAAAAGAATATGAGAAGGAGAAAACAACATCTGGTTGTCTGGAACCAAATGACCAAATGATCTGATAACACACATCTCCACAGTAAAAGTGAAGTTACTTGAAGCATCATGTCCTGAGGACAATCAAAGAGCATAGCGGTATTGGATCAGTATTTGGGCTTGTCCGATTACCTGTGCTCTGATATCGGGGTTGAACTGAGAAAATAATCATTATAAAAAGGAGCAGTGTATCCCAGCTGTGGTGCTCACTCGTTTCTGAGTTGAAAGATGAAGTGTAAAAAAAAAGAACTACTGTAGGAGGACCATCACTAAGCAACACATCTGTCAAAATATTTGGTGGCTAAAAAGAAGAAGTGCTGCTGTCCATTAGCCAACAGCTTTCAGTCCATGTGGTCCATGAAAAGAAGCAGTCAGATGTTATTACTGCAATATCAGCAAGAAAATGTGAATATGATCCTGCTAGCTAATGACTAATCCAGCGTATGTGTGTGTGTGTGTGTGTGTGTGTGTGTGTTACAGAGTAAATCTCATACCTAGCTGAGCTGTTTTCGGTCGCTTCAGTAACACACACCACTGGGACAGCGGCCTTGAGTGTGTTGTCCTGAGAAGGTTTCTCCATGTCCCGAGTCGTCTGTTCCTTCTCTTCAGCCTTTCCATTCAGAAAGACCTCTGAATCAGCCTGGTCCTCCACAAAGCGCAGCTTCTTCTGGGGTTTCTCTCGCGCTTTGCCCCCGTCCAGGAAGGCACTAAAGATGCCGGGGATCTCCGCCAGGATTTTGCTGGACTCGTCCAGAGAGGCATCCAGAAGCTTTGGTGACAAGTCTTCACTCTCGCCTCCCTCCTGCTTTTCCGTAACGGGCACCGGTGCAGGTTTATGTTGGCTTGCGGGTGCATTCCTGGTGTCTGGGTCGAGAGCGGGGCTCGCACACTGCAGCTCCTGCGCTGAGCTCGGGTCCTGAATCAGCGCCTCGCACCACGAGTCAAACGTCACGTCGTTCAGCTGTTCTGTCTGCCCGGACTCAGAGGTGCCGTTCTGTAGCTCTGAGGCGTGATCAGCTGTGCCCGGAGGAGAAGGGGGCGTCCCGTTGCAGGGGATCATGTCTGAAGTGGCGTCTCCTGATTGGCTGCGCTGCTCGGTCGCCGCAGCATCCCGGGCTCGGGCCGTGAGGCCACTCAGCAACTCGGCGAGCTCCCTGTCGATCTCCTGAAAGAGTGATGTCTCATCGAGTTCATCCTCCCGGATGGAGGGGTCAGGGGTTGTGCTGATGTTGTCCTCCAACAGAGGGTTCGAGTCACATGTAGAGGCTGAACAGAGAAAACAAAGCACATACAGAAAGAGATTTCAGTCAAAGTGAACCATGACTTTTCCCATCATGAAACTTTCCTTCTGTCAAACATACAAAAGTCACGTGACAATGTGTGCTATACATACGACCCCATAGCTTTCATTCTATTGGTTCAAGGCTACTGGATAGCTGCTTTTATTAGTCGTGTCCATGTTGTCCATCTGTGAATTCCTGGCTGCATTATTGGGGGGTTTTTTTTCACAAACGTCCCTTAATTACTGCGTTTGTGCTCTGGACTTTTATTGGCTACTGACAGGATCGTTTCAATTTTGCATACATTAAACAACCTCTAGAAACGGCTCACAAAAATACATTACATCCATTTTGAACTCCTGAAATTCGATCAGGAAGTGAGACTTACTCACATAAGTTAATAAATCTTCAGAATTTAGTTCATGTTAATTAGAGTAATGTGTTTTCTGGTTATGAGACCAGTTACTGTGAAACAACTTGTTGAAATGGAGAGAATAAAGTTTTTATTTTATTTCAGAATTAATTATTATTCATTTGAAAGAAGGCATAAAAGGCAATACTATCGGTATCGTATCGGCTCAGAAATTTAGTATCGGTGCATCTCTAATTAAGATATATTAATAGATTTGTATTAATGTAAATATATTGCTGTGATGGAAGAGGAAGAAAGCACTTCGGGACATGCTGTTATAGGAAAATAATCAACCTCAGGCTGGTAACGTCTTTACACTGCCCTGTCACCCCAGAGAGTTTTTATTTCTTACTTAAACATTAGTATAAAACACAAGGGACATAAGAAGTAGACTTTCTGAACATTAAACTCCTTCATCCAGAGGAGGTGAAACTACAGTGAAACTACAGAACGCTGCACATCACCACGTTCAATTTCCCTCAGCTGTTGCTTCAGGTTTGGCTACTCACCTGATGCTCTTTGTGCCTAGAATAGCTGATTTACCCTGTAACACTCGGACTTTATAAACATAATTCTGTTATCAGATCCTCCTCTTGCTGTCGTGCCAGTATGAGAGTGTATCAGAGTGTGCATTAGAGTGTACTGATTGAGCTTATCATGAATAACTCTAGTGTGGTTAGAGAACAGAGACAGACTATGTACACGCTTTAAAAACACAGAGAGAGAGAGAGAGAGAGAGAGAGAGAGATGAGAGATGAGAAGGGATGGGAAAAGCGCCCAGTCTCAGCTACGGCCGTGGCTCATGCACATGTCTCTTTCACAAAAAGAACAGCGGAAGCATTCAATAATGCTAAAGCGCAGTGTGAATTAGTCACTTTTGATTATCTGGCCAGAAACTGAGGTGCAGAAGAAAAACATGCTCACCAGGAGGCAGCATCTGCCTATCTTTACCTAACAGAAAATACAGGGGCAGGGTTGTAGATGCAAAATGTTTAAAGCATTAACCACATCACATACTTCCTTTAATGTACATTGTATAGCTATTGAAGGGGAACACTTTTAAGTTCATTTAGTGTTTTATGTGAGGTTCCCGTTTGGCGCAAAAGAAAACCTTTTGTCCCATCGCGAGTTGGAATCCTAATGATGTCACCGCCATCCAGAGAGAGAGAGAGAGAGAGAAGAGAGAGAGAGAGAGAGAGAGAGAGAGAGAGAGATCGGATTCTTTCTGTTTTTGTGCAGATCTTATACATCAAATTGTTTCAGAAATGAAAACAAAATCTAAGATAAAACAAAGGCACCCTGATTATACACAAATACAGTTTTTAAATGATAACGTTATTTATTGAAGCAAAAAAGTTATCCAATACCAACTGGGCCTGTGTGAAAATGTATTTTCCCTCATAGTTACTTATTCCCTAAATCTATGAAACTGCATTCATAATGAGGTTCAGCTAGACTAGACTCAATCAGACCTGATTACTGCAAACCGTGTTCAATCACATCAACACTTAAATAGAACTTCTTCAACATCATGAAGCTGGTTAAAAGGTCTTACCCAGTAACACACTATACCAACATTGAAAGCAATTCCAGAAATGATGAGGAAGAAGGTGATTGAAATACATCAGTCTGGGAAGGGCTACAAAGCTATTTCAAAGGCTCTGGAACTCCAAAGAACTACAGTGAGAGCCATTATCTCCAAATGGAAAAACTCAGCACAGTAGTGAACCTCCCCAAAAGTGTCCAAACTTCCAAAATACTTCCAAGAGCACTACAAATACTCAGCCAGGATACCACAAAAAGAGCCAAGGACAACATCAAAGGACCTACAGGCCTCTCTTGCATCAATAAAGGTCACTGTTCATGACTCCACTACAAGAAAGACTCTGGGCAAAAATGGCATCCATGGAAGAGTGGTGAGGCGAAAATCACTTCTAACCCAGAAGAACATTAAGGCTCATCTGAATTTTGCCAAAACACACCTTGATGATCCTCAAACCTTTTGGGAGAATGTTCTGTGGATTGATGAGTCAAAAGTGGAACAGTTTGGAAGACAGGGTTCCCGTTACATCTGGCATAAACCAAACACAGAATTCCACAAAAAGGACATCATACCTACAGTCAAGCATGGTGGTGGAAGTGTGATGGTGTGGGGATGCTTTGCTGCTTCAGGGCCTGGGCAACAAATAATTCAGGGAAACATGATTTCTGCTCTCTACCAGAAAATCCTAAAGGAGAATGTCCAGTCTTCAGTCCGTAAATTGAAATTCAAGCGCAGCTGGATTATGCAGCAAGACAATGATCCAAAGTCCACCTCTGAATGGCTCAAAAAAGGCTCAATTTAAGTTTTGACGTGGTCTAGTCAAAGTCCTGACTTGAACCCAATTGGGATGCTGACCTTAAACAGGCAGTTCATGCTCAAAAACCCTCCAGTGTGGCTCAACTAAGGTAGTTCTGTAAAGAAGAGTGGGCCAAAATTCCACCACAGCGCTGTAAAAGAATGACCCTTGGTTATCAAAAACGTTTGGTTACAGTCATTGCTGCTAAAGGTGGCACAACCAGATTTTATGTTTGAGGGGGCAGTATTAGTTTTTCACATGGGTGATAGGTGTTGGAAAACTTTTTTTTTGCTTCATTAAAAAAACTGTATTGTACTTTGTTTGAAGATCGAAAACTATTTAGAATGATATACACACAAAAACAGAACTGTATCTAACTGATTTAGAAATGTCATGTTGGGGTTGGGGCAACGTGGCTTAGTGGTTAGAACGATTGCCTCACACCTCCGGGGTTGGGGGATCAAATCCCTCCTCTGTCCTGTGTGCATTCTCCCTGTGCTTCAGCAGTTTCCTTGAGGTACTCTTTTCCCTCCCCCAGTCCAAAGACATGCATTGTAGGCTGACTGGCATTCCCAAATTGTCTGCCGTGTGTGAATGTGTGTGCAATTGTGCCCTGCGATGGCTTGGCACCCCGTCCAGGGTGTCCCCCAACGGTGCCTGAGCTCCCTGGGATAGGCTCCAGGCTCCTTCATGACCCTGTGTAGGATAAGAGGGATGGATGGATGTTGGAGATGGAAGACATCAACAGAACTTTTTAAATATTAGTTCTGCTCGGATAGTTTTTGTAAATAAAATTTCTGAGGCCTGGTTACAAGTACATCATAAAAAGCTTGGTGTACTACATACCACACTATCAGTAAGTCAGTTAAAAAAAACAAACACTAATGATGTTCTTATCTGATATGTATTATGTAACAAACTCTGCCTTTTAAGGGAATGTGGGCCTTTGACTCCATCCTACAGTTCCAGAAATGGCACGTATGTAGGTCAGCAGAGTCACAGAGAAGCTCTGAAGCATGGCATTCTTGCGTGCACTTCTTAAAGAGAGCCTGAACTGTCAGTCAGGAAAATTCAACTAGCATGACTAAGAGCGGAAAACACAAAATCACTCATGCAGCACGAGAAATGGAGCTTTACCTGTCCTTTTTCATCTCCAACATTTTGTAAATTATGAATGAGGTCAGTGTATGCAGCAAAGTACTGACACCGGAGATCTGCTCTTCGACTGTTGAGTCAGTGTGGGAAGGATGTGGCATGTGTTCTTGCTAAAGAAGAAACTGGGAGCCGCTTATACAGACTCTTCAAAAAAAAAAAGAGAGGCTGATGGTGAACATCTATTTATAGTGGCTATAGCGTAAGTGAGAATTACCTCACGCTTCCAATAGGTTTCGAGAACATACAGGTAAAAATAAACTGATAAAAACGCAGAGGTGTTGTTCCTTAGCGAATAAAGAAAAAAGAAAAAAGTTACATTGGCAAGTTGCTGTCGTATAAGACGAATAAAACACTTCCGGAACATACTGTTATTGGAAAATAAACAACATCACGGTGCTAACAGCTTCAGCAACTTCGTTAATTATTTCCTCGCAACAGAACGGCACTGAGTGTTTTGTTCCTTACGTAGTGAAGAGAAAGGAAATGAGATCTTTGCTGTTTTTCGCATGAAGGACACATGTTCCACTTCCAACTAACAAGCTGAATCTTTGTCCACATGACCTTCCTGTGATGATAACATTAGTCTAATATAGTAGTAGAAAAAGGGCAGGGGGTATGGCTGTGATGAAATTTCATACCAAATCAGCAGTGTGGGGAAATTCTGCATATACGAGAGCTAAAACTCAAATTTATGGCCATATTTTTCCATCAGTCTAAACATATGCGGCTGATTTAGCACAGATGGTGTGGGGTGGCTGTGACTCAGGTAGTCGAGTGGATTGTCCCCTAATCGCAGGGTTAGCGGTTCGATCCCCAGCCCACATGCCTCCACATGCTGAAATGTCCTTAGGCAAGACACTGAAGTTGCTGGCAACTTTTGATGCAATTTTGATCTCAACATCTCAAAAAAGTCGGGGCCATATTTACTACTATGTAGCATCCCATCTTCTTTTAACAACAGTCCATATACATCTGGGAAGTGAGGAGACCGGCTGCTGGAGTTTTGGGAGAGGAATGTAGTCACATTCGTGTCTGATACAGGATTATAGTTGCTCAACAATCCTGGGTATACTTTGTCGTATTTTTCGTTTCATGATGTGCCAGATGTTTTCAATTAGTGAAAGGTCTGGACTGCAGTCAGGCCAGTTCAGAACCTGGACTCTTCTACTACGAAGCCATGCTGTTGTAATAGATGCAGTATGTGGTTTAGCACTGTCTTGCTGAAATATGCAAGGTCTTCACTGAAAAAGACGTCATCTGGATGGGAGCATATGCTCTAAACCTGTATATACTTATCAGCATTGATGGTACCTTTCCAGATGTGCAAGCTGCCCATTCCATACGCACTAATGTACCCCCATACCATCAGAGAGTGCTGATAAAAAGATAGATGGTCCCTCTCTTTAGTCCTCTTTAGTTTAGAGGATGCAGATCCATGTTTCCAAAAAGAATTTCGAATTTCATTTCGTCTGACCACAGAACAGTTTTCCACATTGTCACTTTAAATGAGACAATGTGCAGTCCATTTTAAATGAGCTTTGGCCCAGAGAAGACGGCGGCGTTTCTGGATCATGTCCACATATGGCTTCTTCTTTTCAAGGTAGAGCTTTAACCAGCATTTGTGAATGGTACAGCAAACTGTGTTCACAGACAATGAGTTCTGAAGGTGTTTCTGAGCCCATGCAGTGATTTCCATTACAGAATCATGCATGTTTTGTATCCAGTGCTGCCTGAGGGCCGAAGATCACGGGCATGCAATATTGATTTTTGCCCTTGTCCCGTGCACACAGAGGTTCCTCCAGATTCTCGTAATCTTTTGATGAAATTATGTATTGTAGATGATGAGATATTCACAGTCTCCGCAATTTTACATTGACGAACACTATTCTGAAATTGTTCCACAAATTGTAAACGCAGTTTTTCGCAGATTGGTGAACCTCTGCCCAGCTTTGGTCACAGGGCGGCTGTGACACAGGTGGTAGAGCGGGTTGTCCACTAATCGTAGGGTTGGCGGTTCGATTCCCGGCCCGGGTGACTCCACATGCCGAAGTGTCCTTGGGCAAGACACTGAACCCCAAGTTGCTCCCGATGACATGCTAGCGCCTTGCATGGCAGCTCTGCTACCATTGGTGTGTGTGTGAATGGGTGAATGAGACACAGTGTAAAGTGCACACTTACTATATAAGTGCACATTTACCATTTACTTCTGAAAGACTCTGCCTCTCTAAGATACTCTTTTTATACTCAATCATGTTACTGAACTGTTGCTGTTAACCTCCAGCTGTTTCATTTTAGTACCACTTACTTTTCCAGCCTTTTCTTGCTCCCTTCCCAACTTTTTTGAGACGTGTTGCGACCATCAACATTTGATATGTTTTCTATGTTCTATTGTGTATAAAATGTGGGTTTATGAGATCTGCAAATCCTTGCATTCTGTTTTTATGCGTCCCAACTTTTTGGAACTGGGATTGTAGAATTCTGCACCAAAAAACTGTAAAAATGACATGTTCACATGACAATATTTTCGATGCTATTGTTCATGGATAATCCCAGTGTATGAGTTATATGCAGTTCTTTTCCTTGCATGTCCAATTAAATATAAGTTTGAGTTCACCTTTAATTCACCCACCTTTTAGGCACTACTATGTACCAACTCATTAATAATGAATTACAGCTTCAGAGTTTTAGCAATAATCAAAATAGCTACGCAACCTCACAGATGCCCATGATTAGTTAGTGATGCTGTGATTGACAGGGCAGAGAGAGTAATGTCGTCCCTTCCACCCAGACAGCGCGTCTAATTCTCTTGGATTCCCGGCCACGGATTGCTGTGGCATCGTTGGAACTTCGCGAAAAGGTGAATGCGCAATTTCAACCATCTTAGTTTAAAATGCTGTATGTTCAGTCAGTCACTGTGTGAAGTTGCTTTAAGAACAACCCTATTAACTTGATCAAAGCTTTCACGTGAAAGGTAATAGCAAACTTGACATTGAAAACCTGCAGACAAACAAACAACATGATGACGGAGTAAGATTGTGTTCAATTCCATCCATAACCTTTGTAGCATTACATTTACGGCATTCGGCAGACGCCCTTATCCAGAGCGACTTATTTATCCCAGTTATACAACTGAGCAATTGAGGGTTAAGGGCCTTGCTCAAGGGCCCAACAGTGGTAGCTTGTCAGTGCTGGTTTTTGACCTCCTGACCTTCTGATCAGTAACCCAGTGCCGTTAACCACTGCGCCACCACTGCCACAGGCATTTAATAATGACCTTCAAAATGAGTCACATGAACAGCTATGAATTAAAAGAAGTAACACCACGCTGGAAAGAATGAAAAATGTATAGATATCCTACCAGTGCCTGGCGAACTTGCGTCGTCCGTCTTTCCGAAAAGAAACTCGTACTTGGCCTTGGCGACGCTCTGAGCATGCGAGGAAGAGCCGTTGACCCAAACGAATGCTTCGGCCTGGAGAAAGAGATCACTGTTTAACATGCATGACACTGTTACTGAACGCTTTCACTATGAGAACACAAATTATCGTCATTCAGCATACGGTGTTTGTGAAGAGACCTTAATAATAAATGAAACAATGTAATAAATTAGCTGACAGTTCAGGTAAATATTAAGTGCTTGTTAATATGAACCGACCTTCACTTCAGAGTCTCACGTGATCATTTCAAGTGAAACATAATGCTCTGTTCTTCTATAAACTTACATTGTAACAGACAGCTGGAGCTTTCTTTGAGAAAGCCAATGTAAATTTCAGGCTACATGCCGTGCTTGGTGTTCCCACAGCAGTGAAAGGTTAAAGTGCGGACAGGAGGGAGAGCAGTTGCTATGGCTTCCTCTGGATGCGTCAGGAACGCAGGCTTTTATTCCCAGCACCGTGCTCTTACACTCGGCCCATACACTTGTGTTTTAATCAAGGGCTTTTGTTGGTGCCATGTAATTGACTCAGTGTTGCACACACACTCGGTTATTGCTGAAGTCAGAAATATCTGAAGAGAGTGCCTTATGTCAAACACTTCTCGCTTTAGCTATATGGCATTTGACATCATAGCTGAAGCCATTAAGGATTCAAAGTTGCATCCTTGCAGTAAAGCTATTACTTTATTTTAGGTTGAATTCTGAAATCTGATTGGTCAGACGGTGACCAATTTTTTCTTTCAGTTCCTCATATTTACCTCGAGATGTGTTAAACAAATTAGTACATGACATCTTAGTACATGACAAGTGGTCAAAAATATTGGAGCATGTGACATGTGAAGACTGTATTTGTTGTTAAAAAGGATAAACCGACAGGAAGATCAGAGAGCTGT